TGGACATGTCCGAGCAATCCGATTGCAATTACTAGTATCTATTAGATAAAGATTGCAATTATTTCGTATAACTATTTTATCTGCTATTTTAACAAAGCAATTTAATAAAACAATATTTTTTTGTAATTATACCATTTAACAATATTTTTCTTATATTTAATTAAAATTTGAATTTTCGTCGACAATAGTACAGCAGAAATAATTGCTCGCACATATAATTGAAGTCAACGTTCTCACCTAGATTCTCGGACAGTTTGAACGAGCTTAATCTGCATAATTTCAATCCTCAGCGCAGCACATACGTCTGTATACCTACATGGAACTATGCGTTTGCGCATCGTAAATACTACTCTGAGTGAGTCCGCTAATATCGGCAATTGTTTGCCAAATTGAAATAGTTCAATATGAGACTTCCGGCTTTGAATCTTCCACGATTGTAATCATGCGTGTAGATGTTAATCAAGACTTCTATCAACGATTCCGCTATGTCTGCAATACCTTCACGTCTTGATATTCCCAAGTACGAACGGAGTTCTCAGAATGAGATTTAATCATGTTAATCGACGCTCTAATCAAATTCGTGGAAATGTACATTACGTAACGATCGTTTTCAATATATTATGTTAATCTCTTGTACTATATTTTCCGTTTTATAGACAATTTTAAATATTTCATAATTTTATGAGGTGTTATATATATAGAAGTGTTATATAAGAACAAAGAACGCATTTACGAGCTAATAGTTATTATACTGGTCATATATGTATATTTCATGGATAATTTTAATGGAATACAGAGCAGTGGCTTTTGCCTAGACATATTAATGAGCTGTTACATATTAATGAATTAAAAGTATGTGTATAATAATAATTAATTTGTTTACGACTTAAATTAATCGATAAATTAGTCGGTAAATTAGTATATTATTATACGCTCAATGTGTATAATTTTAGTGGCAATATTATAGCGTAATCGGACGATTCCATATTAAAAATCCTTAATTAAAAAATACGAACCACGCATTAGAATCAGTCATACACTCTTCTAAAGATGTTATATTATATGAAAACGAATGGCAAAATGGCAAAATATTTTCTCTCTTTTCAAATTAAATATTTTTAATTTCAATATTTTTACTATCAAACTTTGGTGAATACATTACAAATAAGTGCTTATAACTTGATAAATAGATCTCGGTGATCCACGAATAAATCAGTTTTTTCTTTCATATGTACGTTGAAATATAGATGTACGATGCACCGTGTTCGCCATGTTTCCAGGTGCAACAGACAATATTAATCGGTAAAAGAATTGGATTTCGCTGTCTCGCAGTTCGCTAACCTTATTTCGTTTGCTCTTTTTCGTTGTGATATATTAAAGTCTAGATGTGAAAAATGTAAGCAGCCTGAATTCAAAACCGGAACTTACTGGATTGAATGGATCGGAATTGAAATTCATTAAAACTGATGTAATATTTCAATAAATTAAATAAGCTTCAGCTGATTAAATTCATAATCGGCATAAGTAATCGTATATTTCTATCTGTTACAGAAAAATAAATGCTAGAAGATTTTGCAATCGTTTATTCATATGTGTTAATGTTTGTATAAAAATAATAACTGCATAAGTTTATTAACTTAATAATTTATCGTTATTATATGTTTGTCATTGAGTCGATTGTTCAAAAATAAAAAATATTTACGTCGTAAGAATTTCATATTAAGTCATGAACATTTACATAATGTTTATCCCGCAATATACCTGTATTTCTAGTAAGAATAGCTGCAATAATAATTGTATTTTTTTATTCGTTTAAAATACTAGCAAATATAAAGCATTTGAGACTAACAATTTTTTTCATGTGTTTTTGCGCTTATATAATGTTATAATTAGAAATAAGTATCAATAAAGTTGCTTTAATATCAGAAACTAAAAAATCAAGAGTTTAACTCTACTAATTATTTATATACATAAAAGGATAATGTATAAAACTTTTTGTTACAGAAATTCTATCAACAGAAATTAAAAAAAAAAAGAAATATAATAAAGTAGAAATATAATAAAGTAGTTACACATATCACCCGATAAAATTATACGTAATTGTGTAATTATACACAGCAAAAATGTTATGGTTTCCAAAATCGGAAATAATAATAATTTTCTCCCATCAATATATAATTTGGTTGTAATAATCGTAAGATGGACATATCTTTACAGCCATAACCGTTAAGATACGCCAATCTTACGGTTATCACAATCGTATTGATATAGTTCTTATATATATAAAAAAATGATAAGATTGATAAGATTTTTGGACTTGGCAAACGTAGCTGTTTTTTTCATGTATAATTAATGTAATGAATAATATAGATAAAACTAGACGTAATATATTATATAACTATAGATACAACTATACATAAGCATATTCTTCACATCAGAAATGCTTACCAGAAAAGTTGTTCCCCTTCAAGTTGTTCAATATCAAGATAGTTTTCCTTGAAACGATTTTTCTAGAAATGATTTCCTTGATTTAAAAATCTTTTATCGAATTCAATATAGTGTACAAACGCATTTGAATATTACTCACCGAGTATTATTAACACGTGACGACATAAATTAAAATGGAATTATAAAAAAACTCTACATAATGCTATTGATTCGTTCTAAATAGAGTTAGTATAAGAGTGTCTCTTCGATCGAAATCATTCAATATACTGCACTGTGGTAATTCAGTATTAGTAATCCCTGCAGAGGATTAATTAAAATAATATGAATATCTTATTAACAACGTAAGTACGCAATCTCATTCAATCGAGTGCTTTACAGAATACTAATAATTAAATTTATATTTTTATATAAAGAAAAAATGTTATTTCGGGCATATGTGTGTAAACGATATATAAAAAATATTAATTATTTTAATATTAATATTTGTATTAATTTTTATATTTAAATATAAAAATTGATTTTATATTATTTCAAAAGATTATGTCAAAAAATAGAAAAATATAATTTATCGCGTTATTGTATATATAATATTTATCTTGTTTTTCGATTATAAAATAAAGTTATTATGTTTTTTCGACATACATATAGTATGTATTATTCCCTTACTTCAAACGTGACACAATTAAAAACATATTAATTTAAAAATTAATTGAAAAACAGTTTTTTCAGAAAAAGGAAAAAACTATTTTTCAACTTAGTAGATAATTATTGATTAATTAAATGATATCAAAAAAAAGATATACTCTTAGAAACATAATCAACTGTCATTTTCATCACAATGTTTAAAAAAATCATTCTTTTTTGAGTTTATTGAATTATTTTTTTTACTTAATTTGATATCCTACAAAAATTATAACAAATAATTCATTATAATTCATTAAAAGTGGCATAGCTTGAATTATCATCAACAGTTTATATTTATCTTGTGATCAATTAACTAAATTTAAATTAAAACAACTTCTTCAAATTTCGATCACCTGTCTTGATTTTAAATGTTCTCTATAAAATTTTATAAGACTCCCCTTTTTATTTACAAAGACGACATAACTCAAAATGTATCACTCTTGTAGAAGATATTATTGCCTCTTTGAAGACAAGATTCTTACAAAAAAACATGACACAAGTGCTAGACGGATTGTAAAGTTAAGTTAGTTTACTATTGATAATTAATAGCGTAATCTTTATTTATATGATTAATTCTTAGTAATAATTCAAAAATCACATTTTGTGTCACTTTTGAAGTAAGGAACAATATTATGCTGATATATAGTGGTTAGAAGTTAAGTATATATAATTATCAGTCTTGTTCTCACAGAATGAGACTAATTACTGCTATCTCCCCAATTACCATTCTATGGATTCTGGTTTCAAGTAACCTAACATGCAGCGAAAGGCTATTGATTATTACCCCAACTCCATCCTACAGTCATCAGATAGTATTTCGGGTAATAAGTCTTGCTTTGAATAAGCGAGGACACGAAATAGTAACATTGACTCCTAATATCTTAAACGATACTGGCATAACTAATTATACGGAAATAGATTTCGGTTTTATATACGAAAAAATTGATGATACTGACATGAGTCAGATCCGTTGGAATCTCACACAATTGGCGGGATTGAAAACAAGGCTACTAACATTAGGTCATAATATCGCTGAGGATGCTCTTAGCCATCCAGATCTCGTGAAGTATTATACGAATAGAACTGATATGCAATTTGATGCAGTAATAGCGGAGATGATTATGACTCCTGCAATTTACATGCTAGCGCACAGATTTAATGCACCTTTAATAGGTAAGATTAAATAAAATTATATAATTATTAATTAATGATATTATATTGGGTTGTTCGGAAAGTTCGTGCCGACTAACCTATATAATTTAATAAATGTATACTAAAATTTAAATTTTCTGCGTTTCAATTTTCTTTCAACATATGTCATGAAAAAAAAGAATTGCGAAGTAAACGCGAACGATATTATTATAATATATTAGAATAGTAATAACTTATTTCTTGTGATAGTCTGATACATGCTTACTAATGTCGTGTTACAAGACGAGACTACACAATACACACGCTGTAAAAATATCGTTACATATTTTCGATGTTTTGGATATAGGGAAGTGTAAGAAAATTGCAAAAAAAGTGAAATAAAGTTGACAATTATTTACTAATTATAAAAGTTTTTATTTAAAAGATATATTGGACTTAAACTACAATAATTAATATAATATATATAATTATAATTTTAAATACATAAATATAAAATCCGATTCGGAATTTGTTCCGCGTGATGGATTAAATAAACAAAAATATTTTGTTTAAAATTACAGTTTATATTAATAATATATTATATATTAATAATATATGAATGTTAATTATTGAAATTTAAAGCCAAATAAATGAAATATATTTTTTAAATAAAGACTTTTACATATAATTCATAAATAATTGGTTTCATTTAACTTTTCCCTTATATATTCGCATTTTCATTCTCTCCTAACAGCTATAAACGATGTTACTCAATGAATTTTATAACTATAGGAATCATGTCTATGGACTTACAAAACTGTCATCGTTTCACTCTTGGCAGTCCTGTGCTGCCATCGCATTCCTCGAATTGGGAGCTCGAAAATCTCACAGGATTAAATTTATCATTTTGGAGGCGATTGATAAATTTCATCAATACTTGGTGGAGTATTCATTCATGGTTTAATAATTTCGCAATCAAACAGCAAAAGATTGCCGAAAAGTATTTCGGTAATAATATACCACATATCACTGACGTTGCGAAGAATATGAGTCTCGTCTTGATCAATCAAGAACCGTTACTTGCATACGCGAGACCCGAAATACCTAATATTGTTCACTTCAGCGGGCTGCACATCACAAAGGCACCGCCATCGTTACCAAAAGTAGGACACTTCGTAATATAATTATCGATTAGTATAAAAATTCTATTTCTTATTATTAATTCTCGCGCTTATTTGCAATAAACACTTAAAAATATGTATATATATATA